CTATTCCTCCACGATATTGTCTCCCCCTACCCCTCTTCCCTGTGTCTCATCCCTGTCTCTCTGCACCTCACCCCTCCATTCCATCCCTCCGTCCTTTCCCTTCACCCCATTCCCGCTCCCCATTCCTCCACCTGCCTGTGTTCCATCCAAGTCCCCTATCCCTCCTCCCTCTTCCTCCCCACGTGGTCCTATCTCTGCACTCGATTCCTTCACTTGTGTTCCTGAACGCTGTCCCATGACCCTGTTCTTGCTCTCGGCCCCTCTGTCCTGTCCCTCCCTCCCCGACCCGTCCCATGTCCACACTCCTCCCGCTTGCTCGGCCCTGGCAGAGGCACCTGAGCCCTCCTGGGTGGAGCGCACGTAGGTAGGTAGCATCTTCACGCTGGCCTCTTTGTGGGTCTCCAGTCTCAGGCCGCGGTCCATCTCCTTCTGCATCCTCCTCATGACTTTCTTGAGGTCCTCCTCCTGCAGCTGGAATTCCGCCAGGATCTGCTCTGCCTGCGGGGTGGGGCGTGGGCGCTTAGGAGCAGCTGGTGAAGGAGCCGCTGCCCCAGCTGGACGGGCCTTCGAAGTGGACCCCTAATTGCAAGCTATGCCTCATGGTTAGAGCCAGGGGAGATCTGAATGGTAGAGCTCCACGGTCAGCCCCTACGTAATTCCTGTCTGCGGTGTGGTCGGGAGGGAGGGGCAGAGGGCGGGGCCTGGACCAGTGGTGCTCAACCTTCCTAATGCCAGACCCTGTCATACAGTCCTTCTTCTTGTGGTGACCCCCAACCATAAAATTATTTTCGTTGCTACGTCATCACTGCAATGTTACTACTGTTATGAATCATCATGTAACTATCTGATATGCAGAATGTAATTTCATTGTTACAAATTGAACCTAATTAAAGCATAGTGATGAATAACAAAAACAATATTTAATTATATATTGTGAAATATTTAGGTATTTTCCGATGGTCTTAGGAGACCTTTGTGAAAGGGTCATTTGACTCCCAAAGGGGTCACGACCCACACGTTGAGAACCACTGGCCTAGACCATCCTTGAGGCATTTCTCTTAACATCTCCCTGGGCTCCCTTGGGGAGACAGAGAGCAGTGCACTGCGGTTTGTGAGCCAGGCGGTTGTACCGTCCAGTCCTCACGCGGGTGTGCCACGTGACAGGGAGTCAGGGTGCACGGCATCGGGAGAGCTGCCAGCCTCAGCATGGCCGTGCAAACCGCCCTGTCTCAGGGCCGGGGCCACGGAGGGTGCTCCGTGGAAAGAATGATGCCTGATACCCGAGGCTCCGCCACCCGTGTGCCCAGGGAGCTGAGCCCTGCCTGGAGGCTGGGACGCTGTGCACAGCCATACATATACATTGTACACATATATTACATGGATGCGGGTTTTTTCGTTTTTTATAGTGTGCGTTTGTGCAGAAAAGGCAAACTGAGTGGGCTGGTTCTCCCCAGGATAGTGCTAAGAAAACACCCAGAGATACTTCCATTTTGAACTGAAAAGGGAAAAAAACCAAAACAATGCTCAGGTTACAAACCATAAACCCTCTCTGGGCACGTGTACCCCATAGAGCAGCTGTGTGCATAAGGCCGGGCCGGAGGTGCTCTCAATTGCAGCCAGGAGGGAGCACAGTCCTTTGTCTCAGTGAGATACGACAAAGGCCAGTTTTACTGAGGTGTGACTGTTCACGGGAAGCCAAGCAGATGAAAACAGAAGGCCTGTAGGTCCCCGAGGGTGGACCGCCACTGATTAAAACTAACTCATGTCGCTGCCATTCCTTTTCGCTGTGCTTGGTAAGAGTTGGCCCATGACTCAGCTCTGGGCAGTGGCAGGGGAAGGGAAGTCGATTTTAGTTGGCAGCAGGTGGTTGGATGGGAATTTTGGGAAGTGCCCTCTAACTTCAGTCATGTGGGCAGCTATCTTAAAGCTGTGAGGAGTTAAGCCTGGCATGGTGAGGGGTTACACCCACTCCCAGGACTCCCCCCCATTGGATACTCTCCCATTCCCATGATCAGAGCCTGGTTGTATCCAACTGCCCAGACAATAGCCACTCAGGCCCTTTCCCCTGGACACCCGTGTTCCTAAGGGACCCAGAGCTTTAGCTAGGAACTTTCTCTTAACTAGGCACCACACTTCACATGTAAGCTCAGGGAAGGTCAGAAACGGGGAGCTGGCTAAGCCTAGAACCCACAGATTCAAAGGTCAGTGTTTGTGATCGCTGAAGACAAAGTGGGTGCATAAGCAAATGTGGTGAAGAAAGCTGACGGTGCCCGGCTATCAAAAGATACAGTGTCTGGGGTCTTAAAGGCTTGAAGATAAACAAGCG